GCAGAGGGGGAATTGTTTTGAAGATCAGGTGGAAGTGTCGGCTCTTTTGGGCTTGTCGTTTTGTTCTTGTTCTCGTTGGATGTCCCAAACGTCCATGGAACAACAGCTGCAACAGGGCCACATCCTGTAATATTCCAACCTGAATGTCCTGTTGAGCACTCCGTATATGACTGGGTTGATTGCAGAACTAATTGATACCAAAAAGACATTGAGGAGATATACTCGTCTGGGTAAAGAGTGGTTCCCCGTGGCAGAATCAGTAAACTCGATAACAAACACAGGGACCCAGCAAATCGTAAACCCCAACACCATGGCAAACAGGGTCTTGGTAATGTTTACTTCCTCGACACTCATCCTCGAACTCTGAGCACTTATTGAGTCGATAGATTGAAACCTTTGTCGATGTTTCTGTACTTTCAAGAACACTTTGGTGTAACAAAATGTTATGGAGCCAAATGGAATCACGACTATGACTAAACCCAAAACGCCAGTATATATCTTGTCAATGGTTTGATGGTGAAATTCAAGCACGCACGTGATTTTGCCTGAGTGGAAATGGAAATATGCCCAACCTGTGACCAATGGTAAGCCGAGAAAGAACGCAGCGGAGACTACTACAGCGAGCAAGGAGAGCACCACGAACTTCTTTGTGAAAATTTTGCGAAATAGCCAAGGTTTTACCACTCGACAATAGCGGTTGAAAGCAAGTAGAGCAATCGTTTGCAAAGAAACAAAGGCCAAAAAGAGAACTGCAAAGCCATGCACTCCACACACCTCCTGTGAGTACCGCCATTCGCCCACAAGCAGCACTCCCCAAACCAGTGGCATGCAAAACATTGCCATGGCGACATCAGAAATGGCCAGTGCAAAAATATATTGAAAGGTGATGGTTTGCAAACGAGGATTTTTATAAACGATCAAACAAACGAGAATGTTTCCAAATAGCGCCATCAAGTTGATTATGATATACAGGGTCGTCTCTATAATGTAGTCGGTAGTGCTCCTGGAAT